ATGCATAACGTGGCGGGTGAATTTACGTGCGCAGTAAGGACGGTTCGGTGACCCCTATTTTTCTTTTGATATATCAATTTCTCTACCGATTTAACTTCCACGTTTAGGGAAAAAATGAAGGAAATCTATCGATTACAAGTTTGAATTTTTGCAAAATCGTCAACGAATTCCGTATCTGTGCGGCGGTTTCTAATGCCTCTTGAAGGTTTAAGGGCCTGTCCAAGAGGTAAATGTTTGGCGACCAAACGTCATCAAACATTGTTTGCTGACCAAACATGCTGATGTTGAAGTGAGTGGCCAAACGGTTAAAACAGATTTGATCAAACACAGATCAAACTATGGATACAAGCCGCTGAGCAAGCGTGGTAGGCATGCGCGCGCCAAACATGTTTGATACGGCTGTCCAAACGAACAAAACACCGCCCATCAAACACGAGAACAAAAGAAATGTTTTAAGTTGTTTGATCGAATGTTTGATGGCCTTCAAATTTTATCAAACACAACCAAACACGATCAAACACAGTCAAACACAATCAAACACGATAAAACAGAATCAAACAGAATCAAACAAGGTGGCCAAACATTAAAACGTTTGGTCACCAAACAATGTTTAATAGTGTTTGGTCGCTAAACATTTCCCGTTTGGACAGCCCTTTAAGTAAAAACGTTGACAGCATTTGGAATTATTAACGCAACGGATTCACTTTTGCAAAATATTGCTAGGATATTTTGCCTCCTCTGATTAATCTTTGATATTTTAAGCTAAAAACCCTGGACACCATGCTGATTTACAGGCGCCATTTCAATTTTTCAGANCGATTTAACTTCTACGTTTAGCGAGAAAATGAAGGAAATCTATCGATTACAAGTTTGAATTTTTGCAAAATCGTCAACGAATTCCGTATCTGTGCGGCGGTTTCTAATGCCTCTTGAAGGTTTAAGGGCCTGTCCAAGAGGTAAATGTTTGGCGACCAAACGTCATCAAACATTGTTTGCTGACCAAACATGCTGATGTTGAAGTGAGTGGCCAAACGGTTAAAACAGATTTGATCAAACACAGATCAAACTATGGATACAAGCCGCTGAGCAAGCGTGGTAGGCATGCGCGCGCCAAACATGTTTGATACGGCTGTCCAAACGAACAAAACACCGCCCATCAAACACGAGAACAAAAGAAATGTTTTAAGTTGTTTGATCGAATGTTTGATGGCCTTCAAATTTTATCAAACACGACCAAACACGATCAAACACAGTCAAACACAATCAAACACGATAAAACAAAATCAAACAGAATCCAGCAAGGTGGCCAAACAGTAAAACGTTTGGTCACCTAACAATGTTTAATAGTGTTTGGTCGCTAAACATTTCCCGTTTGGACAGCCCTTTAAGTAAAGACGTTGACAGCATTTGGAATTATTAACGCAACGGATTCACTTTTGAAAAATATTACTAGGATAGTTTGTCTCCTCTGATTCATCTTTGATATTTTAAGCTAAAAACCCTGGACACCATGCTGATTTACAGGCGCCATTTCAATTTTTCAGAATCAGACTAGTTTTCCACACACTTTATCTCTGAANGGCCTTCAAATTTTATCAAACACGACCAAACACGATCAAACACGATCAAGCACGATCAAACAGCACCAAACAAGATGGCCAAAGGGTAAAATGTTTGGTCACCAAACAATGTTTGATGGTGTTTGGTCGCCAAACATTTCCCGTTTGGACAATCCTTAAGCAAACCACGACGGCATCGGCACCGAGTGCACCACCAAACAAAAGATTTATGAGTAGAACAATGGCTGTGCACGTGCGTTATAAATCTTTGTACATTTCTTTGCCGTCCTCTGCACAACTACAACGTGAAATGACTATGGAGAACGCAAACGACGTCGGCTAATTTTTCGTATTTTCATTTGGAATTGAACACTGGCGTTACAGATTTAGCTTGAGCGAGTTCTGAGACCAAAAGGTGCACGGAACAGATGTAGGCAACTGCGAAATTCGAAGGTAAAAGGCGTTATCCTCGGGGTCGCCGTCGTCATTGCTTATGCACAGGAACAAGCTCCCTTCTGTGTCTTTCAACATCTGAGTAGATGCGTCGTTGTTCTCATATGTATTCTTTTTAAGGGAGCTATTTCACGTTTTCTGTTAAAAAGGTTTTATGATATCCACAATGATCATTAAATCAATGGTTCGAAACAATCAAGTTTGCTTTTTCTAAGATGCAAAAAAAACCAATAAACCTAAATAAACGCCATTATTTTCTTCAACAACTGTATCCCTGGCGTACGCTCATTGAAATAAGGTTTTCACTAATTTGGTACAAGAAACTGGAATTATACGAAACCTTTCTTTTACACACCATGCATATACTCTTTAGTTCGAGATCCTTCTCCTGCTTTACAAAAAATTGATATCATCAAAGAATCCAAGATTTTCATGACCATGCCTAGCCTACTTGTTATTCCAATAAAAGAGAAAATATAATAATCTATTGTCATTACATGTTTATAGATTCACTCGCTCTGCATAACTGGTGGTCTTTCTACTATACTGCATGAGATTTAAACACATGTCGAACATTTTGGACTTTCTTGTTCATCGAGTTAAATTTGCTTGAAACTTGTGGCCCATCTTCACAAACCTTTTCTCTTTGAGGAGCTGAAGACGGAAGCAAGCCAGCAGACAAGCATCCAGGCTCGGTTTCGTTTCGGACATGTCCAGGACAGGTCGCTTTACGGCATTCCACATTGTGGTTTTCGGTAACGTTTCATTTTGCATTCTTCTATAGGACTGTTAACCTTCGCACACGGCCAAACACGATGTAAAATCACTGACGTTCTACATCCTAAGATCCTACTCATGAATGAATGAATCTTATTTTAATCGGTTCTATTTTTCTTATTTTAACCGGTTCTTGTTCCACTAAATGGTTCCTTAGGGGACACTTGATTTATGTCGGCTAATTTTCAAAATCTTTCTGAATAGTATTGCCTTTTCTTCTCAAACCTTCCGCCTCACCCCTCTAATCAATTGTATAGCATGTTTCATTGTTTCGCCTTCCAGTGAACTCTTGTTCACGTATCAGTCACTCTCAATAGACATCTCAATAGCCCTACTTTCTTGCTCTACACCGACTACAGCCTTCGCTTCCCACCGGAATGTCGTCGCCACCTCGCACTATCCATCCCGTGAAATAAACATGGCCTTGGTCGCATGATTTCCAGACACCGTTTTGGTACCCTGGGAAATTGCCGAAGTCTTCTGCTTCCTCGGGCGGTAAGGGTGGAAGTTGCAGCTCCGTTCTTAGTAAGTGGACTGTTTCTCTCAGCCATTCAAGATCTAGAGCACGATCGTTACCCTTAAAAAACACTGCAAACCGATCGCAAGCCAACTTTAGCCGAGTGTTACCTGTTCTTGAAAAAGGGATTTGGTGTTTTGCAGCTTCAATTTGTGCCTCTAGCACATGACTGAATAGAAAGAACTTCCTTGTATGTTCGTGCACCTGACTAAGAGTTTTCAAATTGAGTTGAGGTTGCTCAAGGTATACTTTGATATTTTCGAGCGCTTTCGTGGTAATGTTCTCGAGTTGCTCCACGTTCCCTTGCTGTGTGGAGATACCTTGGGCTGAGTGCACGTTTGCTAGAAGCTGCTGTGGCGCTTGTGCTTTCTTAAGAATCGTCAAGTGATTCTTAGCTATAAAAAGAAACAGAATCGTGCTCTCATCCATTCGTACATCACGTGGAAAAAACTGCATAACGCGAAGAACTGTTTGCGGAAACTTCAGCTTCTTCACATCAAACTTTAGGTGCCTTAGATCCTTTCCTAAGAGATTTACAGAGTTGGAAACTTCAACTGCAAGCTCGTGTACTTGTACTTTGACATGATCCACGTTCTTCAATGTCCTTTTGACGAGATTTCCATAACGATAACTGAATGTAATTGGTGTAGAACATCTTGGACAACGCATGAGTTGCACGTCACTACTCTGTTGACGCAACATCCACTCGTCCATACTTTTAACTGTTATGATGTGACCACAGTCGAAAAGTTGCAGACATCTTGTGGGTTCCGTTTTGTTAACACGTCCATCCCTGAGCACAGAAGATAGCTTTTCAGCGTGACAGATTGCACACGCAGTGGGACAGGTTTCTCCGCACAAGCCAATACACTGGTGGCCGCAAGCCGGAAGCTTTTTAGGACAGGGAGCGTCGCATCGAGGGCGGTCGCACTCTTCACCACAAAGATTGTTGCACTGGTAATGAGGACAACTCCATGTACAAGGCTGTCCACATGGATTGCATGGTTTTGAGCAGTGCTCCTTACACTTTTCATGAGGGCACCTACGGCCGCACCTACTGACACATGGAGGGCAAGGCTCACAGCATGTTGCTCTGCAACGGTGCAAGCAAACGAGAATACGACGGCACGGATTTTGGCAAATTTTGTGCGATTTCCTTTGCCGACAATCGCCACATGTCCCAGAACACTGATGACCACATTGCAGCTTTGCTCCACATACTGCAGGGCACCTTACATATTCCGGATTGTGACAGCAGCGCATTTCAATCTTGTGACCACATCGTAGAGTTCTGGTCACAGGTTTGTTGCAAGGATACTTATAGCAAGGTTCCCCACACCATCCCTTGCAAAGATGTCCGCATGAGCTCTTCGGCCGCAGACAAGGTGCTTTACAAATAGCTGTTTTTCTCAGAAAACACGGAAGCGTTTTTTTGTGGCCACAAGGAAACGTCATTTTTATCTTCCGCCTGCATTTCACAGTTCCGCATGGTTGACCACAAAACCCCTCACAAGGGTGACCACAGTCTAGCGTTTTCCTGCAGCTCTGCAAACACATTGTGGTTGTTGGGTTTTCAGTACATAGCATTCGGAGATGATGTTTCCCTGGGCAGTTAAGTTTCTTCATCACCATCTCTTCGCACTGGTAATCACTGCACTTTTCAGAGCATTTTCCAGTACAAACGTGGCCACATGACAACTTTCGTATGCATTTGTTTGGACAAATAATTTGAGAAACGTCGTCAGGACAAAGACAACTGATTTTATGGTGTCCGCAGGACAAATTCTTTTCCACCCTTTCTGCGCATTGCACTTTACTACAGTCGTCACTGCATCGTCCTCGGCAAGGATGCTTACAGGAAAGATGTCGTTCACAAGGGGCGTCGCAAAAAATGTCTTCTGGTTTCACGGAACATTGCATCTCTTTCGCATGGCCACAGCGTAGTTTTTTCTTGACCACTTCATCGCATTTCACATCTTCTAATACGTTCTTCGTTTTTGAACATTCAACGAGCCTTTTGTGTCCACAGGACATTGTGATGTCAACTTTCTCTTGGCACTTGCGATCTTCGCCAAATTCACAACAGGGAATAGTTACCTCGTGTTCACAGGACAACTTGCGAGTTCTCATAACCATGCAAGGGGGTAGTCTTCCAGCCTTTTCAGCCGAGCAGGTGACCGACTTTGTGTGTCCACACGTCATTGTGACATCGACTTTTTTCATACACTTGTAGTCTTCAATATTTGTGTGACACTGAAGAATAGCTTTATGCTTGCAAGGCAGTTCTTTATCTACTTTCTCATCGCATTTCACGTTCTGTAGGCCAGCTTCTTTAACATAGCAGTCCATTGGCTTCTTGTGTCCACATGAGAGATCGACCACAACTTTTGCCTTACATTTGTACGTTTGAAGGTTTTTGTTACAGGCTAGACTTACTGTATGTCCACAACGCAACGTTCTCGTTACCAACTTCATACATGGTCTAGCGTCACAGTTCTTACTACAAACATCTCGACAAGGGTGTCCACAGGTCCTAACTCGTTCGCATGGCTTTCTACATTGTAGTGCAGCTGGATCCAAGTAACAGGGCATCTCAATGTCGTGGTTACACGAGGGAATTGTCATGTTAACCATCACTTTACAGTCTTTACATGGAAAACCATAGTGGCACCGTTGTTGGCAGGGATGACCTCGGTTACATTTCTTTTGACACATTTCGTGACAGCTGATGTTGCGTGGGTCAAAGTGGCAGGGAAGGATTTGTTCGTGATCACATGGAAGAATCTTTCCAACCAAAATTTCGCACCGGAACCCGTTACAATCTTCATGACAAAGACCAGGACACTCGTGTCCACATTTCAACCCTCGCCTGCATTCTTCAAAGCAAAGGAGAGGTTGGTTCTTTTGGGGACACAAAACACGCTTTTGATGCTTGCATGGCAGGTCAACTTCTATTGTAGTGTTACAGTGACATCGTTCTTTGCATTTCCTGGAACAAGGGTGGCCACATTCCAGTTCTTTGTTGCAATCGCTTTTGCAATGGTTGTAGATTATGGGGTCTTTGAAACACGGCATAATCTTTTCATGTCCACATGGAAGAGTTTTATTACATTCAACATTGCAACGTGTTGTGCACGGGCTACCACAGACGTTTTTACATTGGTGGCCACAGTTGAGAGTTTTCTCGCATTTGACTTGACATACAAAATCTTCGGGTTCAATACAACACCGTACTGTTTGTTCGTGGCCACATCGAGGAATAATCTTCACCATAGGACGTGCACAGAAGCATTCAGATGGATGATGACAGAGCCTTTGACAATGATGGTCATTGGGGCAGCTTTTCCAACACACCTTTGGACATCGCCCAGGTTCATGAAATTCATCTGTAGGATGACAGTCCTTGTCGCAGGCATGACCACATTCAAGACGTACTCCACAGAGTTTGCCACAACCACCCAGGGGAAAGTTTTGGATGTCACTCGGATTTTTTACTTCGTTGGCATTGTTGTGCCTCTTGCAAACCAGTGTTAGAACGTGACCGATTGCATTCTTTGTTTGTAAATCGTCGCATATTTCCTTCCAGAGCATACACTGGCTTTTGAGAAGGGTAAAGTTGCCGATGCAATAAAATCCTTGACGAGCTCGCGATAACGCAACGCATATTCTGTTTGACTCCTTCAAGAATCCTATTTTGGAGCTTCGTACCAACGAGAGGAGTATGATGTCGTTTTCTTCACCCTGAAAGTTGTCGACAACACACACTTTAATCCCCTCAAATTCACTTCTTGGCATTCTGTTCTTTAACTCTAAAAGCTGGCCCGTGTACATGGTAAGAATTGTGATTTGCTCTCGCTTGTAACCTTGCAGCAGTAGGTAACGACAGAGAGCCACGAGGAAGCCAGCCTCGTGAGGATTGGAGTAGCTTTGCATACCGCCAACTAGGACTTCAGGCTGGTGGTGGTCAATAAAGAACATATTGTGCTTTAGTCCTGAGATGTCCTCAAATGTGCACACAGACTCGTGGTCCACGATCTCATGTTCGTAAATTCTTTTAGTCAGGGCAGCAATCTCAGGACGCATGCGGTGCTGAGTGGAAAGGCGTTTGCAGTCCATGCTGTTTAACACCATTCGCTCGAACAGCGAGATCTCCAGATTGTATTTCTGGGCCAATTCATAAACTGTTGCTTTCGGGCGAAGCTGTTTATGGTCTCCAATGAGAATGGTATGTTTTGTGTTTCGTGAAAGAGAAGTAATGATATGGGCTTCAAGAACCTCAGCAGCCTCCTCTATGATGACGATTTTGGGAGATATTCTCTGAAGCATTGAATGGTATCTGGCAGCACCACTGGTTGTCATCCCAACGACTGTTGCTCTGCGTATGACCACTTCCTCCTCTTCAGCATTAGCCTCTTCCAATTTAGCACAAAGCTCTCCATGTTTTTGTTCCACTCGTTGGATCTCAATTCTTTTGCGTTCACGATAGCATTCCACCCAGTAAAGGTATAATCGGAGACGATCCGCTGCTGATAACTCCCAGATGTCTGTCACTCTTGTTGCTTCGTTGTCGGACATCATTGTTAACTTTTGCAACTGCGTCTTTAGNGGCCTTCAAATTTTATCAAACACGACCAAACACGATCAAACACGATCAAGCACGATCAAACAGCACCAAACAAGATGGCCAAAGGGTAAAATGTTTGGTCACCAAACAATGTTTGATGGTGTTTGGTCGCCAAACATTTCCCGTTTGGACAATCCTTAAGCAAACCACGACGGCATCGGCACCGAGTGCACCACCAAACAAAAGATTTATGAGTAGAACAATGGCTGTGCACGTGCGTTATAAATCTTTGTACATTTCTTTGCCGTCCTCTGCACAACTACAACGTGAAATGACTATGGAGAACGCAAACGACGTCGGCTAATTTTTCGTATTTTCATTTGGAATTGAACACTGGCGTTACAGATTTAGCTTGAGCGAGTTCTGAGACCAAAAGGTGCACGGAACAGATGTAGGCAACTGCGAAATTCGAAGGTAAAAGGCGTTATCCTCGGGGTCGCCGTCGTCATTGCTTATGCACAGGAACAAGCTCCCTTCTGTGTCTTTCAACATCTGAGTAGATGCGTCGTTGTTCTCATATGTATTCTTTTTAAGGGAGCTATTTCACGTTTTCTGTTAAAAAGGTTTTATGATATCCACAATGATCATTAAATCAATGGTTCGAAACAATCAAGTTTGCTTTTTCTAAGATGCAAAAAAAACCAATAAACCTAAATAAACGCCATTATTTTCTTCAACAACTGTATCCCTGGCGTACGCTCATTGAAATAAGGTTTTCACTAATTTGGTACAAGAAACTGGAATTATACGAAACCTTTCTTTTACACACCATGCATATACTCTTTAGTTCGAGATCCTTCTCCTGCTTTACAAAAAATTGATATCATCAAAGAATCCAAGATTTTCATGACCATGCCTAGCCTACTTGTTATTCCAATAAAAGAGAAAATATAATAATCTATTGTCATTACATGTTTATAGATTCACTCGCTCTGCATAACTGGTGGTCTTTCTACTATACTGCATGAGATTTAAACACATGTCGAACATTTTGGACTTTCTTGTTCATCGAGTTAAATTTGCTTGAAACTTGTGGCCCATCTTCACAAACCTTTTCTCTTTGAGGAGCTGAAGACGGAAGCAAGCCAGCAGACAAGCATCCAGGCTCGGTTTCGTTTCGGACATGTCCAGGACAGGTCGCTTTACGGCATTCCACATTGTGGTTTTCGGTAACGTTTCATTTTGCATTCTTCTATAGGACTGTTAACCTTCGCACACGGCCAAACACGATGTAAAATCACTGACGTTCTACATCCTAAGATCCTACTCATGAATGAATGAATCTTATTTTAATCGGTTCTATTTTTCTTATTTTAACCGGTTCTTGTTCCACTAAATGGTTCCTTAGGGGACACTTGATTTATGTCGGCTAATTTTCAAAATCTTTCTGAATAGTATTGCCTTTTCTTCTCAAACCTTCCGCCTCACCCCTCTAATCAATTGTATAGCATGTTTCATTGTTTCGCCTTCCAGTGAACTCTTGTTCACGTATCAGTCACTCTCAATAGACATCTCAATAGCCCTACTTTCTTGCTCTACACCGACTACAGCCTTCGCTTCCCACCGGAATGTCGTCGCCACCTCGCACTATCCATCCCGTGAAATAAACATGGCCTTGGTCGCATGATTTCCAGACACCGTTTTGGTACCCTGGGAAATTGCCGAAGTCTTCTGCTTCCTCGGGCGGTAAGGGTGGAAGTTGCAGCTCCGTTCTTAGTAAGTGGACTGTTTCTCTCAGCCATTCAAGATCTAGAGCACGATCGTTACCCTTAAAAAACACTGCAAACCGATCGCAAGCCAACTTTAGCCGAGTGTTACCTGTTCTTGAAAAAGGGATTTGGTGTTTTGCAGCTTCAATTTGTGCCTCTAGCACATGACTGAAAAGAAAGAACTTCCTTGTATGTTCGTGCACCTGACTAAGAGTTTTCAAATTGAGTTGAGGTTGCTCAAGGTATACTTTGATATTTTCGAGCGCTTTCGTGGTAATGTTCTCGAGTTGCTCCACGTTCCCTTGCTGTGTGGAGATACCTTGGGCTGAGTGCACGTTTGCTAGAAGCTGCTGTGGCGCTTGTGCTTTCTTAAGAATCGTCAAGTGATTCTTAGCTATAAAAAGAAACAGAATCGTGCTCTCATCCATTCGTACATCACGTGGAAAAAACTGCATAACGCGAAGAACTGTTTGCGGAAACTTCAGCTTCTTCACATCAAACTTTAGGTGCCTTAGATCCTTTCCTAAGAGATTTACAGAGTTGGAAACTTCAACTGCAAGCTCGTGTACTTGTACTTTGACATGATCCACGTTCTTCAATGTCCTTTTGACGAGATTTCCATAACGATAACTGAATGTAATTGGTGTAGAACATCTTGGACAACGCATGAGTTGCACGTCACTACTCTGTTGACGCAACATCCACTCGTCCATACTTTTAACTGTTATGATGTGACCACAGTCGAAAAGTTGCAGACATCTTGTGGGTTCCGTTTTGTTAACACGTCCATCCCTGAGCACAGAAGATAGCTTTTCAGCGTGACAGATTGCACACGCAGTGGGACAGGTTTCTCCGCACAAGCCAATACACTGGTGGCCGCAAGCCGGAAGCTTTTTAGGACAGGGAGCGTCGCATCGAGGGCGGTCGCACTCTTCACCACAAAGATTGTTGCACTGGTAATGAGGACAACTCCATGTACAAGGCTGTCCACATGGATTGCATGGTTTTGAGCAGTGCTCCTTACACTTTTCATGAGGGCACCTACGGCCGCACCTACTGACACATGGAGGGCAAGGCTCACAGCATGTTGCTCTGCAACGGTGCAAGCAAACGAGAATACGACGGCACGGATTTTGGCAAATTTTGTGCGATTTCCTTTGCCGACAATCGCCACATGTCCCAGAACACTGATGACCACATTGCAGCTTTGCTCCACATACTGCAGGGCACCTTACATATTCCGGATTGTGACAGCAGCGCATTTCAATCTTGTGACCACATCGTAGAGTTCTGGTCACAGGTTTGTTGCAAGGATACTTATAGCAAGGTTCCCCACACCATCCCTTGCAAAGATGTCCGCATGAGCTCTTCGGCCGCAGACAAGGTGCTTTACAAATAGCTGTTTTTCTCAGAAAACACGGAAGCGTTTTTTTGTGGCCACAAGGAAACGTCATTTTTATCTTCCGCCTGCATTTCACAGTTCCGCATGGTTGACCACAAAACCCCTCACAAGGGTGACCACAGTCTAGCGTTTTCCTGCAGCTCTGCAAACACATTGTGGTTGTTGGGTTTTCAGTACATAGCATTCGGAGATGATGTTTCCCTGGGCAGTTAAGTTTCTTCATCACCATCTCTTCGCACTGGTAATCACTGCACTTTTCAGAGCATTTTCCAGTACAAACGTGGCCACATGACAACTTTCGTATGCATTTGTTTGGACAAATAATTTGAGAAACGTCGTCAGGACAAAGACAACTGATTTTATGGTGTCCGCAGGACAAATTCTTTTCCACCCTTTCTGCGCATTGCACTTTACTACAGTCGTCACTGCATCGTCCTCGGCAAGGATGCTTACAGGAAAGATGTCGTTCACAAGGGGCGTCGCAAAAAATGTCTTCTGGTTTCACGGAACATTGCATCTCTTTCGCATGGCCACAGCGTAGTTTTTTCTTGACCACTTCATCGCATTTCACATCTTCTAATACGTTCTTCGTTTTTGAACATTCAACGAGCCTTTTGTGTCCACAGGACATTGTGATGTCAACTTTCTCTTGGCACTTGCGATCTTCGCCAAATTCACAACAGGGAATAGTTACCTCGTGTTCACAGGACAACTTGCGAGTTCTCATAACCATGCAAGGGGGTAGTCTTCCAGCCTTTTCAGCCGAGCAGGTGACCGACTTTGTGTGTCCACACGTCATTGTGACATCGACTTTTTTCATACACTTGTAGTCTTCAATATTTGTGTGACACTGAAGAATAGCTTTATGCTTGCAAGGCAGTTCTTTATCTACTTTCTCATCGCATTTCACGTTCTGTAGGCCAGCTTCTTTAACATAGCAGTCCATTGGCTTCTTGTGTCCACATGAGAGATCGACCACAACTTTTGCCTTACATTTGTACGTTTGAAGGTTTTTGTTACAGGCTAGACTTACTGTATGTCCACAACGCAACGTTCTCGTTACCAACTTCATACATGGTCTAGCGTCACAGTTCTTACTACAAACATCTCGACAAGGGTGTCCACAGGTCCTAACTCGTTCGCATGGCTTTCTACATTGTAGTGCAGCTGGATCCAAGTAACAGGGCATCTCAATGTCGTGGTTACACGAGGGAATTGTCATGTTAACCATCACTTTACAGTCTTTACATGGAAAACCATAGTGGCACCGTTGTTGGCAGGGATGACCTCGGTTACATTTCTTTTGACACATTTCGTGACAGCTGATGTTGCGTGGGTCAAAGTGGCAGGGAAGGATTTGTTCGTGATCACATGGAAGAATCTTTCCAACCAAAATTTCGCACCGGAACCCGTTACAATCTTCATGACAAAGACCAGGACACTCGTGTCCACATTTCAACCCTCGCCTGCATTCTTCAAAGCAAAGGAGAGGTTGGTTCTTTTGGGGACACAAAACACGCTTTTGATGCTTGCATGGCAGGTCAACTTCTATTGTAGTGTTACAGTGACATCGTTCTTTGCATTTCCTGGAACAAGGGTGGCCACATTCCAGTTCTTTGTTGCAATCGCTTTTGCAATGGTTGTAGATTATGGGGTCTTTGAAACACGGCATAATCTTTTCATGTCCACATGGAAGAGTTTTATTACATTCAACATTGCAACGTGTTGTGCACGGGCTACCACAGACGTTTTTACATTGGTGGCCACAGTTGAGAGTTTTCTCGCATTTGACTTGACATACAAAATCTTCGGGTTCAATACAACACCGTACTGTTTGTTCGTGGCCACATCGAGGAAT